GGGAAAGGGAAAAGGGAAGGGGAAGGGGGGGAAAGGAAAAGAGAAAACATCAGAAATGCCCAAATTGAGACAGACTTTAAAAAAATAACCTGCTGGTACTCTTCAAAATGTCAAAGTTGTGAAAGAGAAAGAAGGAAGACTTTACTCCATATCAGAGGAGACTAATGAGACATGACAACTAAATGTTACATATGGGCCCCAAAAAGCACATTAGTGGGACAACTGGCAAAATTCAAAAAAGGTCTGTAGAACATAAATGCTAAATTTGGTAATTATGTGAGAATGTCTATTTATAGGAAACACACATTAAAATGTTTAGATGGAAAAGGATACCAGGTCTGCAACTTACTCTCAATTTAAAAAAAAAAAAAATACACTTAGATACACGCAAGTGAGTGAGAGAGAAGAAATGAATGATAAAGCAAGCATGGTAAAATATTAACATTTGAGGAATCTGGGTGAAATTTAGTATTATGTTTGCAATTTTTGCAAGTCTGAAATTATTTTGAAATAAGAGGTTAAAATGAAAACAATGTGTTTCTATAAGGCAATGGTTAAAGTAATCTGAAATATACACTTAAGGTACTGAAGAGAGTGGAGAAGTTTTGAAATAACTGAGGTAGAGAATGAGAGAGAGCCAACCAGAAAAAAAGGACTGTCAGACTGCATGATATATGTACCGTAGAACAGTCACTCCTACCCCAATACATAAATTTACACGCCCAAGAACAACTATATTTTCTCTGGTATGTCTGTGATTTTCTAAGACTCTAATTCAAAATTCCTAAGAAAGATAATGTGCTCCATCCTTATGAAGGATGTTAAGACATTGCTTTTTTACGTTGCTTAACATAGCTGGTTTTATGAAGCCTTAACTTCCTGAGTCTTCAGACAAATACTGCAGTACTTCATAGTTCCTAATTCATAGCAGAAAAATATCATCAAAAAACAAAGAAAGCAAGAAACCACTCACTAAATCCAGCAACAAGCAGGAAACTGGTCAGTAGACTTTTAAGAAGAAATTGCCAAATAGAAGATTTTTTTTTTTTTTTAAATCACTTAAAATCTCACCAGGCCACTGAGCAGGAGATGAATTTGGTGTTGCGTGTTCTTCAATGCTTTCTGTCCTTAGTCTTCTACGATCACTTAAAAGAAGTCCTTGATAAGCCATTCCTGTAAACTGATTTCCTTCTGTTTGACTGCTAAAACAAATAGGTTTAGTTATTTATCATTGTAAGAGAGGTAATAAAAAACTGCACTTCATGCACATCATTTATTTTAGACGGCTACTTTAAGAAACAAAAATTCTTAAAATGCATTCACTGTTCTAAAAAAAATTTTAGAAAATTATTGAAATTAGTTACAAATGCTTATTTTTTTTTTAAACAAAATAACAAATTTTACTATGTTGGGCAGATGACATTTATTCCTTTAGAATTTTCTCCAGATGCCACTTTAATACTTTAAAATCTTTTCTATTTGCAGTAATTTTTATTTTGTGTTTTTACAAAGTCTGAAGCAAGGAGACTACTGTTGGTACTAGGATATAGTAGGCAGAAAGTTTCAGGGTACTAGTGGGTTGCATTTCTTTTCTCAAAAGTTGTGCAAGCTTAACTCTAAATTAAAATATGAACTAAAACCTGGAGAATCATATTTTAGAAATACCTAAACCTGAAACTAAATGTCCCTAAATATTGTTTAATAATATTTACTTCCCTCTCCATAATTGCTATCTTTGTGAAGCTGGGGAAAATATAAAAGCAGAAAGTCAAGCTAAGTCTAGTAAATCATAGCTGACCAACTAGAAAATACATATTTAAAAACAATGTATTTGCATTTTCATTTGGTGCCATTTTAATGGTGACTGACATCAAACAAGTTATCTTTGATCATTTAGATGACAACAGTCAACTAAATCAACTTCTTTCCTTATTTACATTTCTAATCTTTCGAGTTATTTAGACACAGCCTTAATTAGGTTACAATCAGAGTACAGGCCATTTTGATAGATAATTCTTTACTTGATACCAAATGCTCCCACAAAAGGCTGCTACCATTACAAGAAAGAAAGCTAGACATACATTTAATATCAATTTAATGTGAATCTACTATTATAAACTTTTCATTTATTAACATAATTCATTTAAATCTAGGTTATCTTTCCAAGTGATTCAATTTCTTGCTACTTATATTGCTCTAGTCATTAAAATGCAAAGTACATACTAATGAAGGCAATTTTACATTAGGAAAAATTCAGTCCCTTTCTTCTAATTGATATCACTTCCAAAGACTTTTACATCATATGTAAATGGGTAGGTAAAAGTAATTTAAATAATTCCATTTTAGGAATGTACTTTTTCAGTTTTCAAAAGTATTTTTATTTCAATGGATAATTAGCTAAATAAATAGCTGCTAATCCAATACAAAAAGAAATTGTTTCTAAGGAAAAACAACTAAAAAATTTCATATTATAAGTTATTATGGACAGTAAACTCTTCTTTCTTCAAAACAAAAAAGATGGTAATGATGGTAATTTACATTTACTGTTTGTTACTTTATTTCTCTGTGACTACTAGGTGATAACTAAACAAATAATTATTTTATTTCTGATTCTCTCTCATCTATTAAAATATCATGGCAGTCATACTTAGGGATTTTTCAGTCCCTAGGAAATAGAAACTTAATATAACTCTGGAACAGTTTAATTGTTTTTGCTGTATTAATACTATTTTGGGTGATTTTTTTTTTACCTGTAGCTATGACTGTCACATAATGCTTGGTAAATTGATGCAGAAAGTGATGCTGCTAGTGAATGAAGTGTGTGCACCTAAAACCAAAACAGCCACAATTACATTTTGTACTAACATTTCTACACAACAGTAATATTTCAAAAATTAGAAAACATCCAGGAAACCTAGCAACATCATAAATAAGACTGAATCCTAGATGAGACTACTAACTTTGCTTTAAATCTCCTAAAGTAACTCTCACCCACCTTTATACACATGCCACAACAAAGCTGATTGTTTCAGACACATTTTAATCAAACATTTACTTACTGTGAGCCTGCCGTTTACCAGGCCCTGAGCAAAGTGCTAATGTTTGTATTACAGGGATTTGTCCTAGCCTAACAACTAGCTTACTAGCTTAAATAGTAATATTCAAAAAAAAGCAGAAGCAAAATAAGAATAGAATTTTCAGAGCTTTTATTTAAGCTTGCCTCATGAAATTCACCTTGTTGAAAATAAAGACTTGATCTTATCAATAAAAATGAATTAAATCTTTTTAGTAAATTTATCAATCACTGTGTGAAACAGCTAATTTTCCAGAAAGTAAGTAATTTACTTGGTACTCATGAATTGAGGATAGTCTTAGAATTTTACATTTAGAAAGTTTTAAATTTCTCCGTATAATTAAAAAAAAAAAAAAAAACACCCTGAAATGCTATACTGAATCAATATTTTCAGACTCACAAAATCTTTAAATTTGAAGGGACCTTAGAAACAGTTTCATATGTTATACAGATTACTCTTTGAAAGCCTTACCCAAATTTCTAGGAACCAGAAATGTTTACTTCGAATTCATATGCTTTTTATGCCTTTTCTGCATGTCCCTATTCACATAACAAATGCTTTAAATAATCTCTGCTAAAATACTAATATAGGTTAATTCATACTATGGATGAGAAGTCCCTAATTGGTTATAACCAGGCCTTTAGAAGAATGTACCGCCAGAGATTAAATATGCTTGTCAAACAAAACAAATAAAAAATAAGAAAACGGGGGATCTGAATTGTGCGTCAGCCACTAGAACTGGAAAAAGCATAGCACAAATACACTTAGGCTGGGACAGTGGAAGTCTGATCAGCTCCCCAGATCCTGCCAAGCTCCCTAGTGTTTCTTGGACTATATCAGTTTTTAAGATCTTGGCACGGGGTATCAATATAGTTTGCGATAGTAACTGCCGAAACTCTGATTGCCTCTAACTATTGCCTCCAATAAACACAACCACCAAGGAAACAGTAATAAGGACACTCTCTCTGGGACCATTTGTGACCAATCACAGTTCCCTCCCAGATAGTCCCCAACTTATATTTTCATAATATCTTGGCGTGTAAACAAATAATCGTAAATATTTCCAACTTAATGGTTCATTTAAGGGGAATGGAGGATCTAGAGGGATATTAAGTGGCAAGAATACTGTCAAGAAAATTAGTTTTATTGCCAAAAGTATTTGTCTGTCTTAAAGGAAGACAATAATTTTTCCAGAAGTAAGAACACTTGCTTTTAAATTACATTCATTGGACAAATAGTCTTGAACTGATCTGGAGTGAGAAAGGTAGCACATAAGAGCACATTAAAACATTTCCTCTAAGTTCAAATTAAAAGACAGGTATAACATATTTACCTTCTCAGTGTGTATAATATCAAATGATCATAAACTTTACATTACCTTCACATCTTCAATACTGGGATGAGGTGGTGTTTTCATCTGAACAATAGTATAAAGTATATCATGGATGTGATTATTTAAGTACAATACAGGATTAGCTATGACTGTTTTTGTTGATGCAATACTTGCTGAAAGCAGAGGTAGGGTGGTAGGCAGTGGTAGTGGAGACTGGAGCTGCTTTACTGTAGTTTCCTGTGGGTGATAGTGAATTATTTTTTTCAAAGTAGTTAAAAAAATTTCATCAATTATATGATAGAAATACTGGTGATAAACATTGTGTAAAGGGAGTATGTTCGATCACTAATTTTACACAAATTTATTGAGTACCCAGTATGTACCAGGTACTATGCTAGATGTAGATGGTATATAAAGAGAAATATGACACAAGAATACTCTCAAGCTTTTAAGCCTACTCCTTGTTATCAAAACTTCAGTCTAAGAGCACATAGAGTATAAATATCTGCCTCCTATAAAGAAAGGAGCTGAATATATTTAGATTAACTAGTAAAAAGTAGTAAAAGAGCTTTATAGCTATAACTGCAAGAGCTACTGAAATTATTGAAATAACCAAGATTGGAAAAAAAGTGATATTCACACCTGTTGTGATTCTTGTAGCAAAAATTTGAGTTCCATCCTTACTGAAGCCAGACCACCACCTTGGGCCCCATGAAGGCTACAATAGCTGAGAAACACTCTCAGGAGATCTTGGTTTTTCTGCAACCACGACTTTCGTCTTTCTGCATGCTCTCGTTTGGCCTGCAATCTTCTTCTTTCTATTTGATGGCGCTCATAGGAACCAATATCTGGTTTGTCTACCATTTCTTCCTGATCCAGTAGATCACTCTCTACTTTGGAATATGTCTTACTAGAATATTCTTTAATAACTGATTCATGATTACATATCTCATGCAAGGCAGCAATTTCCTTTTCAAGCCAGTTGTAGAGTTGAAATCTGAGTTTCCCTCCATCTACTTCATAACCTGTAGCCAATGTTCTTAATTCAGTCATAAGGATCTTTAAACAAGCTCTGAATTTTAGTTGCTCAGCAATCACATCAACTTCAGTATCACCTTCAGGACCATCCTCTTCCTGAGGTGTTAATAACATGTTAGGGTCTGAGGCCTTCTGATCTGATTGTTTATCTTTTTCCCTGGCATCTGTACTTTTCATCACTAAACCAACAGCATCTTCTTCCTCTTCATCTAAGGCACTGTCGTGATCTTCACCCCAATCAAGATTAAGAGGTTCCTCATCAACTTTTACTACTGGCTGACTCCAGTCATACTGTGATGAAGTTACATTTGACCAATCAATACCAGAACTTCCACTGCCATCACTCAGAGCTTTTGATTGTGAAGGTACATCATCCATCTTGTGAGAAATGAAGTCAGGCTGATCTTTTTTTGCAGATAAGGCAGATGTTTTGGTTACTTTTGGAATTTTGGAGAGTACCTCCAAGGCTAAAACAGGGCATCCAACTTTAAAATGAGCATTTGCAGTGGTAAAGAATAATTTTCTTTCTATGAGGTTAATTTTATCAACAAAGTTCTTCTCAGTTTTGAGACCTAAGGTTGCCAAAGTTCCTTCAGGGGAGGCAAGATTTCTTCGAATGAGCAAAGGATGAGTTCGAAGGTAGTTATAAAAACTAAATGCCACTGGGTTACAAGACTTGATGATAACTATGGAAATCAAGGAGATAAAATCACAAAGCATTATGTTAATATGTATTTACATTACAAAACAATAAAATACGTCAGCATTTCTTAAAAAAAAACAACATGTAAATATTAACCTACGATAGGTTAAACTATGGCACATACAATCATTAAAACTGTACAGCTGAAATAAAAAGAATTTCCCAATATGCTATGGAGTGATTCCCATCACTATAGAATGATGTCCAGGATACACTAAGAAAAAGAAGACGCAGAAAGTACATGTAGTAACCACCTTTTATCTATATAAGACAGTGAAGAGGAAATACAAATACACACCCATGCATATTGGCTTATCTTTTTTAAATGGAAGACAAATACAAAAAAATTTTAATTGATTCCTTAAAAGGGGAGAGCAAAACAGAGGAAAAAAAGCTAGATTCCTCTGAAAATACATTGGTTTTATATATTTTATTTCAACACCATGTCAACATTTTACATAATTTTAAAATAAAATCAAATCTAAACCACAATTCACAAAAGGTAAAATTAAACAAATCAATCTATCGAGTTGGTAGCATAATCACACAGAGATGAAATCTAAAAAGTGAGTTAAAAACAAGTAATTTGACTGTACATCCTTAGCAGAATGCACCATAAAACCAAAAAAATCTGCAAAAAAGCTTAAATTATGCTCAGAATCATGTTATTATAAAAATATCTGTATTATTATTCTGAAACTTATATGCACACAGATAGCAAATAAGTACATTCATGCCATGAGAATTCAAGCATTTCATTATAAGACACAAACTTGACATCTAAAAAGAAAGAACCCTATAATCTATATGTGCATGAGAAATATCAGGGTAAACTCCTGAATTCTTAAGGAAAAAAAATTCCCTAGTTCCATTCATTGCAACAGTCTAGAAATTATGACAAGATTAGTACCAATGAGGATCCCAGTGCCCAGACTATAGTTTCTAAATATTATTCCCCACTAAAAGGAAGCAGAATGCTTTGGAGGAATGGTCATTTCCAGGTCTGGGGCAGGAAATGTACAAGATGAGTCTGAAACATTCTGTAATACCAGAAAGCAAGAAAACTATCAAGAAATAATGCCAGAATAATTCAGAAACCCGAAGAAGCTCCATTTGTGAAAGACAGAACAATCTGAGCATCCATAAAAACAAACCAAGAGAATGATGTCAGCAAGATGGCTGACTAGACACACCTGGCATTCATCCTCCAAAAAGAAAGGACCAAGGCAATGAATAAACAGCTAAGATTTGACTGGAGTGTCAAAGGGAGAGCACTAGAGTGCAGCGGGGGAGTGGAGATGCACCTGTGGTGACTGCAAGTCTAGGACAGCAGTGTGGAGGTACCCAGCCTCTGCAGCCCTATCTCCCCTACCCAGACTGGATCTGCCCACAGTCAGGAAGAACTTCTCATTGCAGAGGGGAAAAGGTAAACAGAAGATCCCCACTAGCCCTCATGGCCACACAAACATCTACAGTCCTTACAAACATCTACAGTCCTTACAATAGAAGAATCCCACAGTACTTGCAAACCCTGTGTCCAGTTTGGAGAGATGTCAGAAATTCATGCAACTGCATTGCCCCAGATTAGGAGCATAAGGTGTGTGCCCTCCACCTACCGCCAGTGAGCCAAGCTGCTGCAGCAAAGTACTATCTTGAGACCAGTCACCTCTGGCATGCGCACTGCTCTGGGGGCCAGGAGTCACTGTACCTCTCCAACAGTGGGGCCCCATCTTCATTCCAAGCCCACATGGGTAGCTGAATGCTACAATCCCAGCTATGCAGAGCCTAGGTCCATGATTGGCTATGACTTTGGTCCTGCATGGCAGGGAAATCAACCCCTACCATCACGCTTTTAGTCAGAGAAACAATCTGGCAGTCTTGCCCAGGGTGAACCTGCCCTTGAGCCAGCTAAACCACTACATATATACCCTCCCCCAAATGAGAGACGTCCCCAAGCCTATGAGCAGCTGATATGCCCCTGGGCCAGCAAAGAAGCTACATGCCCACACTCAGGACCTCAGAAACAGCCTGCAGCACCCCTGCTCCCTGAACTCAGAGTTCTGGCCTGCCAAAGGCCCTGTGCCTGCAATCAAAGCCCAAGAAATAGTCCTTCAGGCCGCCCCTGGCAGCACACCACCAGGCCAGCCAAGCAGCCAAGAGCCCATTTCCACGGCCCTGTGGGCTATCCCTGGTGGACACATCCCAGCCTGGTCAAACAGTCCTGCAGGCTGCCCGCAGTGTGCACACCCCTTAGCCAGTTGAACAGCCTTGCACCAGCCTCAGACCGGAGAAACAGCACCATAGGCCCGTAGCAGAAATGACCCCATGCCAGCTGAGCAGCCTTATGCCCACACCTCAGGCCTGAGGAGCAGCCTGACTGCCACCCCAGCCAACATAGTCCCAGAACAGCTGAGCAGCCCTGCACCTGCATCACAGGTATACAAATAACCCATGGGCAACACCCTGCAGAAACACCCCCAGGCCAGCTGAGCAGCCATGCAATCATGTCATGGGCCTGAGAAACAGCCTTGTCCCCACCCCCAGGAGACAAAACCCCAGGCCAGCTGAGTAGCCATGAGCCCACATATGAGGCCTGAGAAACAGACCTGCAGGCTGCTTCTGGCAGGCACACCTCCAGGCTGGCCAAGTGACCATGTACCCACACTCCTGGCCAGAGTAACAGACCTGTGGCCCCAATCCCAGCCAACCAGACCCTAAGCTGACTGACCCATTGTGTGCACATATGCACCCCGACCTGACAAACTGTCCAACAAGCCCATCCTGGCAAAGCTACATGACCATCACCACAAACTCAGCCTAGACAACTGAGAGGATTGCAAATGCCACTAATGTGGATTACAGCTGAAGAAGCTACATGGAGACTACACTACTGTATCCATCTAACCAATGCACTCTACCACACCAACCCCTGAGGACCTATTCATAATAACAAGTCTTTCCCTATAAACCCTACTCCATAAAATTAGAAGAGGCAACTTTTTCCACCAGATGCATAGGATCAATGTAGAAACACACCAACCATGAGAAAGCAAGGAACTATGACACCAAAGAAAAAAATGGAAAGGAAAACACTAATTCTCCAGTAATAGACTCCAGTCATAAGGAAACATATGAAATGCCAGAAAAATAATTAAGGAAATCATAGTCTTAAGGCAACTCATTCAGATACAAAAGAATACAGATATACAACTAAAAGAAATCAGGAAAAGAATTCATGATGTGAATTTGAAATTCACCAAAAAGAAAGGTATCATACAAAAGAACCAAACAGAAATACTAGAGGTAAAAAATTCAATGAATGAAATAAAAAAATAAAATCAAGAGCTTCAACAACAGACTAGACCAAGCAGAAGAAAGAATTTCTGAACTTGAAGATAGGTCTTTTGAAATAACTCAGGCAGACCAAAAAAAAAAAAAAAAAGAAGGAGAAAGAAGAAGAAGAAGGAAGGAGGAGGATGAGGAGGAACAGGAAAAAAAATAATGAAGAACGCCTAAAGGATTTATGGGACACCATTAAGTAAACAAATATTCATATTATGGGCATTCCAGAAGAAGAAAAAGGAAAAGGTGAGGAAAACATACTAAATAAAGTAACAGCCCAAAATTCCCAAGTCTTGGGAAAGAGATAGGCATCTAGGTCCAGGGTGCTCAAATAATCCCAGATAGATTCAACCTAAAAAGATCCTCTCCAAGGCACATGGTCAAGTTGTCAAATGTCAAAGACAAGGATCTCCTCATTTTTATTCCCAAAAGGCAGTCAGTGACCAATGACCAGTATTTCATTTCTTATGATTTGTTTCAGGAAACAACCAAAGGAAATGGAGGAGGCAGACACAACATGTGTGCACATTCAGGTGCATGTGTGTACAACATATATATGTCAAATGCAACAAGAACCACACTGCTGTGCATCTTTTTTCACTTAAAAATACAGCACATATTAACACATCTATCTACCTCAATTTTTAATGACACACTGATTCTATATGTGGATATATTAAAATGTATTTAACTATTCTACTGGCAAAAACTTAAAATGTTCCATTCCTTTCAAATTATTGCAAACAATGCTGATAAATATCCTTAAGTGCTTGTAATATCTAAATTATTTAGGACAACAAGGAAAAAAGAAAATTTACCACAGAGGCATAAAGTTTTTGTATGCTTGTTAAATATATATGTAATTAGAATAGGATGGTAATCCTATCTAATCCTTTAGCCACACAAGAAATTTTAATAATAAATTCTCAAAGTTGAAAAGCAAATCTGGTAATGATTTTTCTTAATCTAAGTGAACATTAGTTCAGAAAGTGTCTCTTCCTTTAAAAAACAAAAAAAAAGAAATCCACAAAATGTCCTACCTTGATGTTCATCATCCTCCTTTGGTGTTTGTTCCAGTAATGTGTCCAAGGCTCGGGTGTAATCTTTCATTACCCAATAGGCAAGACTACGCAGGAAAGGATCAGGATGTAATCTTTTGCAACTGAATCCTGAGCCATCCTTTTGGCAACCCAAAATCTTCTGATTTAGGATGGATATATAAGTGGATGAAGTCTCAAATTCAGATTCATATAAACGGGCAATAACCATGGCTAGCTGAATATCTTCCATTTTTTCAAGACATACCTGCAAATTTAAATTTTAATACTTATCTTATTTAATGATAATTAGAGAGATGAAATATCCCATCAATACCCTGAAATTATCTACCATTTATATTCTCATGGTGGGGGAAGAGACAGTGAAGGGTAGTTAAATGATTGATAGGAGATTAAGGAATAGCAAAAAGAGTAACAGGTTGGAACTTAGTAGCTTCCAAACTAGACATTTATAAAATAAGCATGAAACAAAGTATATTAATATCATCTCAGACTTAGATCAATTTAAATAACATTCATTTTTAAAGTAAATACTACATACAACACTAGAATTTATATACCACTTCCTCTTAATTTCCAAATATATTTCTGCATAAACATAATTATTACTATCTGCCTCATATTTAAATAGTAAATAACTTATGAAATAAAGCCACATGTTCTATTCATAGTCTCTGGGAGCCTATATGCTAATGCAACTACCAGTTCTGAGCATTTGAGGTCATTCAGGCAATATGAGCATCTCTCAGTCAACACTTGTCTTTGCTTGAATATCTTCTAAGCTAACCTTCCAATTTTAAAATCTTTTTTTTTTTTTTTTTTTTTGTAATTTAAACAAATACCAAAAGCTTTATTTAAGCAAAAACATATTCAACCACAGAACATCTGAAAAGCTAACAGGATCATTTCTACATTCATTCTGAAAACAGTGTAGTAAGAAAGGTAATTTGAGAATTTCCAAAGATGTTCTCGCTAGCCATTATTTATGGTATACAACATAACATTTTGATATCAAGCTATTACAGACTTAAAAGTTAGTATGGCATAATTTTACAATCGTGCTTTCACTATGATTTTTATTTTAACCCTGGATATTATCGGTTTGAAGCTAATATTATCAGTCCTACTTGTTGTCACTGTCACAGATCTGAAGATATGTTTAAATTCATCAAGCTAGGAAGATACCAAAATATTAACAATCTTTAAGTATAGTGAGAAAAAACTGATTTAAGTGTTAACATTTCTAAACTTGAGACTCTAACAGTAAAAACAAAGCAATCTGAAACCTGTTTCCATGGGTAAAACACTCTGCCTGGTATTCTTGTACACAAAATTTACTAAATATGGGAATATCATAAAATGAAAATATCATTCCCTTCAATTTCTTTGGCCTTCACAAATTCAATGTGACTATGATCCTTTTCAATAATACTTTCAATGACATTGTGCTTCTTTAGAAAAAAATCACAAGTTGTAGCATACAATAGTTTACATTAGTTCTTTTGTTGCTATGGTATATCCTAATTTTTTTAAAAGGGAGAAAAAAACCCAAAGAACTTCTTAAAATGTTTGTTAAAGCAAACATTTCAGTTGGTTTCCTTTCTTTGAAGAATAGAAATAAATGTCAGAGGAGTATTACTAAGGAGCCAAAAACAAAACAAAACAAAACAAACAAGCAAAACAAAAACAAAAACAAAAACAAAAAAAACTCCTTTCCTCCCATCCTCAGAACTAACTCAGAACAAGAGATCTGTATTCAAAAAGATAAAACAATCTCACCGCAGAAACTACCTCCTATGAAACCTAAGAGAGAAAACCTGTAATAGCTCTCTTAGCCAACAGCCCCATCTGCACATCACCAAGCACCAGTTCTCTTTGGGTAGCAGTAATGCTTGTTTTTCATCTTTGCATATTAAGGACTGTTGTTTACAGATTTATGGGTCATTTGTAGCTTACTTTGCAAATACCTTTCACTTCTTATGAAACACAATATGCCCCCAAACATGGACCATTATTCAAGCAGACAAAATCACTCACTCACAGCACTTTTAACAACCCACCTCCACTCCATCTTCCCATTCTCTCACCCTATGCCTTCCAATGAACCTAGTCTTTGCTAGTGATGAGTCCACCTGGAGACAAACACTGCTTTAAAGATGATGTAATTTTCAATGCCTAACACAGTGACTTTCTCATAATAGGTATTAATAAACACTTGTTGACATAGTTATAATAAGCTAAAAACAGTTAACATTAATTTTTCTTTATCTTTCATTCTTATGGCATAGAATTTTTTAAAATGATTGAAAAACTGATTCCAATGTAATAATTATTTACTGGGCCACATGCTAGATGACAGACATGCCTCCCGCCTAAAAAGAGCTCAGAGGGTAAGGAATTCTCAGTTATACATGAGTGAATTAAAACTTTAAATGTAGTACAAAAAAAGAACTTTTTATATGAAGGATTCTTTATGTAGAGTATCTTTTTTGAAAAATCAGATTTTCTTATCCTATATTACACTGGTTTTAACTGGGCATGGTCACTTTAGTAGTGTGCCTCATTACAATGTCTCTTTTATGTTAAGAACTTATAAAAGCATTTAAAAATCACTACTCAAATGGGATAGAGAGTAAGAAGACAGGAGAGAAGGAGAAACCATGTTTTTTGTTTTGAGTCAGGAGGGTCTCACTCTGTCACTCAAGCTGAAGCACAGTGGCACAATCACAGCTCACAGTAGCCTCAAACTCCCAGGCTCAAGTGATCCTCCTACTTAAGCCTCCCAAGTTGCTGAGACTACAGGCGCAAGCCACCATACCAAGTCAATTTTTTAAAAAAAAAAATTTTTTTTTTTTTTTTTTTTTTGAGACAGTCTTGCTCTGTTGCCAGGCTGGAGTGCAGTGGCGCGATCCTACCTCACTGCGACCTCCGTCTCCTGGGTTCAAACGATTCTCCTGCCTCAGTCTCCCAAGTAGCTGGGACTACAGGCGCGTGCCACCACGCCCAGCTACTTTTTGTATTTTTAGTAAAGACGGGGTTTCACCATGTTGGCCGGGATGGTCTCGCTCTCTTGACCTCGTGATCTGTCTGCCTCGGCCTCCCAAAGTATTGGGATTACAGGCGTGAGCCACAGCGTCCGGTCAAAAATATTTTTGTAGAGACCAGGTCTCACTATGTTGCCCAGGCTATTCTCAAACTCTTGAGCTCAAGCAATCCTCCCACCTCGGCCTCCCAAAGTGGAGACTGGTATTACAGGCTGAGCCACTGCCACCGGCAGAGAATCCATGTTTGTTTGGAAAATATCACTTCTTTGTTCTTAATTTTGGTTTTCGATATTCAGTTTAGAACTTACCCTAGCTTTCAGTATGTGTGTGTGTGTGTGTACACATGTGCTTTATAGAAAGACACACAGAGAGGGACACAGAGATTATGCACGCTAATGATTGATTTCACACATTAGTTTTAACTTAGAATGCTGAATCAAACTTTAAACTATAAGAAATGCTAACAAACCCACATGAATCATGTTTGTAAATAAGAAATGATACTATACACCACACTAGCTGACTTACACAAAATAATCTTAGAAACAATTAAAGTAGATTAATATAGCTATAATAGCTATATATATATAATGTAAATAGTGACCCTATTTTATTCTTAAAAAGATCAGGTTTCTAGTCACCATGTATGAAAGTCCTTCCAAATTACCTCAAAATATAACAAACCTTTCTCTAACCCTAATACACAAGCAGAATTCTATAATTCTCTAGCAACAACAAATAACTATTAGAAAATCTTAACCTCACCAAGAAGTTCAAATGAGAAAAGGAAGGAAAAGACTTAGCTTACTTAAATAATTGTGCTAAATAGCTTACCTTCACAATTTAAAGTAAAAACTTTTGAAAAAGAAGGACTTCACCAAAAACAGACACACACTCCTATAGCCCGAAGATCTGGCCAGAAAAGCTCCATGAAGAAATCATTACTC